GGACCACACTAGACCTGGTCCAGCTCAAAAACTACAACACCTAGACTCTTCAAACCAGGACTAGATTATTATGTAAAACTAAGGTTGAGCTTTGGGAAACCTTTGTCTGATTTGTGAATCATCAATAAAGTTTGATTTTCATCGTTTTTATGCAAATGGACCACACTAGACCTGGTCCAGCCCAAAAACCACAACACCTGGACTTTTCAAACCAGGACTAGATTATTCTACACTAATAGAAGAATATTTACAAACATGTTTGGGATTTGGGAAACCTTTATCTGATTTGTGAAAAATCGATAAATTTTTTTTCATCGTTTTTATGCAACTGGACCACACTAAACCTGGTCCAGCCCAAAAACCACAACACCTGAACTCTTCAAATCTGGACTAGATTATTCTACACTAATAGAAGAATATTTAAAAACACGTTTGGGATTTGGGAAACCTTTGTCTGATTTGTGAAACTTTTTTCATCGTTTTTATGCAACTGGACCACACTAGACCTGGTCCAGCCCAAAAACCACAACATCTGGACTCTTCAAACCAGGACTAGATTATTCTACACTAATAGTGGAATAATAAAACAAACTATTGATGTTTCACAAATCAGACAAAGGTTTCCCAAAGCTCAAGCTTAGTTTTTATTATTCTTCTATTAGTGTAGAGTAATCTAGTCCAGATTTGAAGAGTGTAGGTGTTGTAGTTTTTGAGCTAGAGCAGGTTAAACACGCGCAAGGTAGTGAAAAATTAGTTGTAATATCCCTTTAGTCATTTCCCGAATCGGAAGCTAACTTCAGCTTCGTACCTGTTCAGGGTATAATCTGTCTGAATAGGAAAGAAGAATCCATTTTTAATGACTAAATGAGCAGATTGATTCACTGTAACTCATAAATAATGTATCAGCACCCAAGTTAGCAGCTTCTTGCTAATGTCCACAATGGTTGTGGAAAATTTACTGAAGCTATTCCTAACTTTTCCTAATTGAGCCACAGCTTTTGTTGTAAAGTGTAATTTATTCAATCTGCAAGCATGGAAATGAACATGGTGTTAATGCTAATGCATGGTACACCCTTACATTACTGCTAATAAATACGATGTAAACTGGACTTCACACGGAAGAACTATCGAAGCCCATTTCTGCCACCCTGATAAAAATAAATAAAACTTGTATCTCATAATTATGACTTAGCTATCTAAGTCATAATTATGAGATACAAGTTTTATTTTTTTATCAGGGTGGCGGAAATGGGCTTCCATAGATTCACTGAGGAAAATATGAGGGTTGATTAAATTAATTATATTTTGCAGAATATATTAAACTGAACAATAATGAAATATTTGGAATCTAAATGTTTTGTTGAATTGAAACTGGATCCGCTTGTTAAAACAAAGCTGTGATGTTATCTGGAAGTAAATAAATAACCTGACTAAATACTGAAACTATTCAATTTACTCCACACTACACCTCAGTCTTTTGAAAACTAATTCTTGTTCAAAATGAATGAAAATTACAAAATATTTCTGCAGCTATTGTTATTGACTTTTTAGTAAACAAACAAACAAACAAACATGTCTCTGTTGGCCAACAGGATGGTCCTCTGTGCACTGAGGAGCAGCAGCTGCTGTGGAGTGTGGAGCAGGTAATGACCTCCTGCCTACATGTCTTATCATCATGAGAACATATAAAGTCATAAATAAAGCAGCAAACAGTTTATCAGGTAAACTAATGTTCACAAAACAATAAAACAGTCATAAACCCAGAATAGTCATTAATGATTAACACAACATTTGAAGGTGTGTGTTTTGTGTTTGTCTGTGGTGCTCAGTTCCAAACAGGAAGTAACCGAGTGTATTAAAATCATTTCTCTTTACTTTATCTTAGTATCTGTTTGCACAAATGCTCTCTTCAGTACAGCCTCACACAAATCTGCTATCAGCTGTGGGACGTGAACGCAGCTTCATGTCACTGAGTTGAATCATTTTAGATTTTAAAAATGTGCTTTAGCAGTTTGTTGAAGCAGCTGCTGGAGCTGTAAGGTTACCAGTTTTTACAAGCAGAACAAACGTTAAAATAAGACAGAAGCTAAAAGAATAAAATGCACAAAAGCTGGAATTAGCAGAATAGTAGCTAAAAGCTAAATAAAAGCATAATGTTTCATATTGGAAAACCTGAAGTGATCTCAATGTATTTTTTATGGGGAATTTCATTTTAAATAAAATTAAATATTTTTGGAAAGTATATACTTTCTATCAGTTCTTACAGCGGGTAAAATAAATATTGAACACGTCAACATTTTTCTCAGTAAATATATTACTAGAGGTGCTAATAACATGAAATTTTCACCAGATGTTGGTAACAACCCAAGTGATCCATACATACAAAGAAATCAAACCATAAATGTCCAGAAATGAAGTTATTTGTAATAATGTGGAATGACACAGGGAAAAAGTATTGAACACACTTCCTGAAATTTATGTAATACTTTGTACAAAAGCCTTTGTTGTCAATGACAGCTTCAAGACGCCTCCTGTATGGAGAAACTAGTGGCATGCATTGCTCAGGTGTGATTTTGGCCCATTCTTCCACACAAACAGTCTTCAAATCTTGAAGGTTTCATGGACCTCTTCTATGAACTCTGATCTTTAGTTCTTTCCATAGATTTTCTGTTGGATTCAGGTCAGGTGATTGGCTGGGCCATTCCAGCAGCTTTAGTTTCTTTCTCTGAAACCAACTGAGAGTTTCCTTGACTTTGTGTTTGGGCTCATTGTCTTGCTGAAATGTCCAGCCACGTTTCATCTTCATCATCCTGGTAGATGGAAGCAGATTTTTATCAAGAATGTCTCTGTACATTTTTCCACTCATCCTTTCTTCAATTATTTGAAGTTTGCCAGTACCATATGCTGAAAAACAGCCCCACACCATGATGTTCCCACCTCCAAACTTCACTGTTGGTATGGTGTTTTTGGGCTGATGTGCAGTGCCATTTGACCTCCAAACATGATGTGTATTCTGGCAAACAAACAGTTCAATGTTGGTCTCATCTGACCAGACTATATTCTCCCAGTATTACACAGGCTTGTTTAAATGTTGTGCAGCAAACTTTAAAGGAGCTTCAACATGCTGTTTCTTCAGCAGTGGAGTCTTGCGTGGTGAGCGTGCATACAGGRCATGGTGGTTCAGTGCATTACTTATTGTTTTCTTTGAAACAATCGTACCTGCTAATTCCAGGTCTTTCTGAAGCTCTCCACAAGTGGTCCTTGGCTCTTGGACAACTCTTCTGATAATTCTTTTCACTCCTCTGTCAGAAATCTTGTGAGGAGCACCTGGTCGTGGTCGGTTTATGGTGAAATAATGTTCTTTCCACTTCTGAATTATGGCCCCAACAGTGCTCACTGGAACCTTCAGAAGTTTAGACATTCTTCTGTAACCGATGCCATCATTATGCTTTGCAACAATAAGGTTGTGAAGGTCTTGAGAGAGCTCTTTACTTTTACCCATCATCAGATGGTTCTTGTGTGATACCTGGCCATCATTTGGGACTGAACCAGCTGATATTAACTTGCACTGACAAGGGGCAGGCTTGCTTTCTAATTACTGAGAGAGTTCAGCTGGTGTCTTGGCTTTCCATGCCTTTTTACACCTCCCTTTCTTCATGTGTTCAATACTTTTTCCCTGTGCCATTCCACATTATTACAAATAACTTCATTTCTGGACATTTATGGTTTGATTTCTTTGTATGTATGGATCACTTGGGTTGTTACCGACATCTGGTGAAAATTTCATGTCATTAGCACCTCTAGTAATATATTTACTGAGAAAAATGGTGACATGTTAAATACTTATTTTACCTGCTGTATTTATAGTTTCAAACTGTCACAGCACTTTATTCTTGATCAAGCTGAATGGTTAAATATAGGAATAAGTAAATAACAGAAAGTGTGTGGAAGTAGTTTGATAGTAAAAATTGCTGATTCAGCAGCTTTATTTATTTATTTTGTTTACTTGAAACATATCATGTTTATAATAGTTTATAATCCCACATTTATCACACTGTTGGAATGGCTCCTTCCAGGCTGCTGCAGAGACAAGCCCGGGGCTGTGTTCACTCCAGCGTCCACAGCTTCAACCAGGATGGGATCCGAGAGAAGCTGCAGGTCTTTCCCGGCGGCTCTGTTGACCTGCTGAAGCAGGACTCTGGTGTCGCCGTGCTGACCATCAACAACCCGTCCCGCATGAACGCTTTCTCTGGTAGGGATGCTCAGCCCTTAACATTTCTGAACTGAAAGTCACCGTCTGCAGCTCATCAGAGTCCCTAACCCCACCTCACTTCCTGCCAGGCAGCATGATGGTGGATCTGGAGGAGCGGGTGACCCAGCTGGAGAACTGGGCGGATGGGAAAGGCCTCATCGTTCAGGGTGCTGCTGGAACGTTCTGCTCTGGATCCGACCTCAACGCTGTCAGAGCAATATCCAACCCACAGGTACACAGCAGAGAAACTGACTGCGGGGTTATTTTATATTTAATGTTTAAAGCCAAACTGTTCATCTGCACTGTTAGTTTGACTCATTTCTGTGTGTCTGTTTGGTCGCCTGATGTGTTAGCAAAATATCCCAGTGAATGGATTTTAATGAAACTCTCAGAAAGCAGTCATTAGATATAGTCAGGCCTATGAATGTTAACACATCAACTCATTTCTCCTCTTTTTGGCTGTAAACACACCATGATGGATTTGAAATGAAACAAACTAGAGGTGCTTTAACTGCAGACTTTTACATTTGCATCCAAATCAGATGAACGATGTATGAATTACAACAGCTTGTAGATAAGCCTCCCACTTTATAAAGGAGACACATCATGTGTTTCGCAGTGTGCTTAGGATCAGCATCCATCTGCAGTGTGAAGGGCTGACCATTGAGTTCTGAAGCACTGGGCTGAATATGAGCAGATAATACTGCCTGAATCACTTCAGAATTCATCCTGCTGCTTTTGTCAGCATCACATCATCAATGGACACAAAGGAACCAGTTCCATTAGCAGCCATACATGCCCACACCATGACACTACCAGCACCATGCTTCACTGATGAGGTGGTTTGTTTTGGATCATGAGCAGTTCCTTCCTTCTCCATACTCTTCTCTTCCCATCACTCTGGTTTAAGTTGATGTTTGTCTCATCGGTCCATAGGATGTTGTTCCAGAACTAGAAAGACTTTTTTTTGTACGTTGTTTGGTGACTCTAATCTGGCCTGTTTTCGGGGCTCACCAATGGTTTACATCAGTCGTTCCCAAACTTTTTAGATGGATGGATGGATGGATTCATGGATAAATCATTTTATTACTTAAAGAATCCATTCTAGACCAGTGGTTCCCAAACTTTTTATCTTCTGACCCACAAAATATCCATGGCAAAAACTTGTGACCCCAAATATTACTGGTCTGAGTACACAAACTTTGTTAATAACCCTAAAACAAAGGCTACACAAATATAAATACTTATTTATACTTATTTTGTGTTTTTGTAATAATTATAGGGAAAATATTGCATCACCAATTATTTTATTACACTTCAAAGTGATTTCTGAAGTGCAGTGGTTCCCAAACGTTTCAGCTTTTGACCCACAAAATAACAGTAGCAGAGACCTGTGCCCACAACTATTTTTGAATGATAAATATTTGTATCAGGTCAACTAAACATGGGCATAGTAACAATATGTATTATTCTACATTCATACATTTTAGGCAACTAAGGCAAAAATGTAATTAATTTAGAAAATCTTTTCAGGACCCCACCTTGATGTTTCAGGACCCCACTTTGGGTCCCGACCCCAACTTTGGGAACCACTGGTTTACATCATGTGGTGAACCCTCTGTATTCACACTGGTGAAGTCTTCTCTTGTTTGATGACTTTGACACACACGCACACCTAGTTCCTGGAGAGTGTTTTGATCTGGTTTATAAGAACATTTAAAACTGGTGATTTGGCCACACCCACACTTTTTACTGTTTCTGATGTGTTTGTTTTGATTTTTCAGCCTGATGACGACTTGCTGAGAGTGACAGCTCTTTGGATCTAAGGTTGAGAGTTGACAGCAACTGATTCCACATGCACGCTCCACACTTGAAATGAACTCTAGACTTTTTATTTACTCATTTTAAATGAGTTAACGAGGGAACAACACACACCTGGCCAAGTCTGCAGTTAAAGCACATCATTTTGGTTTCATTTCGTATACACTGTTGTGGTGTTTACAGCTAAAAAGGTGAGAATTGTGTCGATGGCCCAGTATTTAAAGATCTGACAGTAGATCTACGAATGATTCCCTTTTAAAGTGACCCAAACTCAAGACGGCCACAACAGCTTATCAGTATTAGCCAACACAAAAAGGCTGTATTGAGTCAGATTTACAGGAACTGAGCTGAAAGTTTTGTGTTTCATCCCCACCGCACAATCAGACCACTAATCATCAAGGTTTGACTAAAGCAACTTTAACTCTATTTTTTAGATGACTTAATTTTTTTAGCCACTTCAGTAGAAAACATAACACAATGTATATTATTTTCTTCATCATCAGTGACTTTTATTTTTATTTTTTAGCCACTTCAGTAGAAAACATAACATATATTAGTTTCTTCATCATCTGTGACTTTTTAATTTTTTAGCCACTTCAGTAGAAAACATAACATATATTAGTTTCTTCATCATCTGTGACTTTTTAATTTTTTAGCCACTTCAGTAGAAAACATAACATATATTAGTTTCTTCATCATCTGTGACTTTTTAATTTTTTAGCCACTTCAGTAGAAAACATAACGTAATGTAAATTAGTTTCTTCATCATCAGTGACTTTTTAATTTTTTAGCCACTTCAGTAGAAAACATAACGCAATGTATATTATTTTCTTCATCATCAGTGACTTTTTTAAAAAAAATTTTAGCCACTTCAGTAGAAAACGATGTAATGTATATTAGTTTCTTCATCATCTGTGACTTTTTTTGGAATACTATAGAAAAGAAGAACAAGAAAAAGGGAAAAATATACTGGAAAAGATTGAAAGAGAGGTTAGAAAGTATGTGAAATGTACACCAAGGAAACACAAGACAACTTAATTAAAAACTCAGGTAGCTGGTGATTCCTGCAAAGAACACTGGATTTTAGTGAAATGACTTGTTTTCTTTTGTAGGATGGGATGAAAATGTGTATGTTCATGCAGGATGCTCTTACAAGGCTGCTCAGGTAATCACTCGTTTTTATTTTTTGTCTAAATGTTCTGCCTTGTAAAGAGTTTGAATGTAGCAGCTGTATTGCAGCGTGCTGACAGATGGTTCTCTGTGTGCAGGCTGCCTCTTGTTTCTGTTGCTTTGGTGGAGGGGAAAGCTTTGGGAGGAGGTGCTGAGCTCCTTACTGCCTGTGATTTCAGGTAATTTACATCCCGTTTCCTCTGGCTGCTCATAACCCAGCATGCTAACCGCCATCTGCCTCTCTCTCACACAGATTAATGACATCAGGCAGTTTGATCCAGTTTGTCCACAAACACATGGGTCTGGTCCCAGGCTGGGGCGGCGCTGCTCGACTCGTCCGCATCGTCGGAAGCCAGAATGCTCTGAAGCTGCTCGGCGGCGCCGTGAAGGTGGACTCTAAGCTCGGCTGTGACATCGGACTCACAGACGGGGTCCTGGAGGACGACCAGGAAGTGACGGGTGTGGGCACCTCCCTGCAGCGGGCCGAGAGCTGGCTCAGCCGCTACGTCGAAGGACCCGCTCCGGTCATCCGGGCCGCGAAGAGAGTGGTGCTGTCGGGGAGGGAGCTGCCTTTGACGGAGGCTCTGAGGATGGAGAAGGACGTGTTTGGGACAGTGTGGGGCGCTCCAGCCAATCTGCAGGCCCTGGCCAGCAAGTCCAAACACAGATGATTGGGTTACATCAGCCGAGACGTGATGAAGCTTCAAACAGACTCAGAACATTGTTGCTGGACTGAAACCCGTTTTAAATAATTTGATGTTTAATTTTGTGTCTTTAATGTGGACTGTTTAATCTGTTTTAATAGTTGGATTAATCTGTCAGTTTATTGCTTTAGGCTCACAGGCTCACAGATTGTTGTGTATAAATCCTGTTAGCACCGGAGCCGAGACACAAACACAACGAGACTCATGATGCTGCAAAAATGCAGAGCTGTGGTGTGATACATTTAAATAAACAAAGTTACGCTCCGTACATTTACATCACGGTGCAACACAGATAGGCGTGGAGAAAATCTGTGAAGGAAAAATGCTTTCAGGAATATTTAATTTATTAATTAACAAAGCAAAGAGAGTGCACAGTCCGACTGCAGCTGCTCTACTTTAACCTGGAGGAGCTCAGCAGGTGTGCATGTTGCAAACATCTTGGAGACTTAATCACAGTTCTCACTGGATGTTTCTGTCTGTATGTGACCCCGAAAACAAACTCTGTGACTCTGAGATCAGGACTCTCTAGGTCGTGTCAAACTCGAGGCCGTGGGCCAACTGTGGCCTGCGAGTGCTTCAGAGATGTTTTAAAAGTCTTAGAAATAAGCAAATGCTGCTTTAGAGCCAGCAATGACCATAAACTACATCTCCCATAATGATTATTAATGACTATTGTTGATTATTTTACCTGTGAAATGATGGTATCCTACCACTAGGTGGTCTAATATCTGCCAGCTGGTGAAAGTTGTGGTTTCTCTGCATGGAATACCACATAGAGCTCAGGTGTTGTTGGTTAGCGGTGCTCAGCTGTGGCTATAAGATGAGGAACTCTTCATGTTTAGTCCAAGTCAAATACTAAACATTGAGGTTAGTGTTGTAGTCATGACCACCTAAGCCGAGACCAAGTCAAGACCAAGACCACAGTGTCTCGAGACTGAGGCAAGACCAAGACTTTTAGAGTTTGGACCAAGACCAGATTAAAAAAAAGTGCCCTATAAGATGGAGTATTCTGTACACATGTACAGTGGGGGGGTATTTAGTCTCTCATGGTTGAGGTCTTAACTATGATGTCCATCACAGGTCTCTCTCATCTTTTTAAGTAGGAGAACTTGAACTATTGGTGCTGACTAAATACTTTTCCCCCACTTTAGCTAACTTAATATGTAGAGCTAATACTGACAAAATCTTTGTGTGAGGGCAGAGGAAAGAATTTTACTACAGAGGCAGATAATGTTAGTGACAATAAAAGTTTAAATTTGTCTCATTGTCTCTGAAAGTGAAGCACTGCAGAATTTGCAAGTTGCTGTACGGTTTCTCCTGGTTGTTGTTTTACAATGATATTATTTATGAATAATGTTGCCAATTTTTTTACTTAAAACTTTGAAGACATCTTTTACCGTTCCCAGAGAACCACGGTTCATTTTCTGGGAGTGCTGTGTGCGAGTGATGGAGGGTATGGATGGTGACAGTCGGTAACAAAAACACAAACAGCAATGAGTCAGGTTTGGATTTGAATCAGTAGCTACATTTTAAATCCAATGAAAGCAAGAATGTTAACAAATAAATTGGAAAATAAATTGGCTATTTAGTGATGTTTCCACAGTTCACTGGTCTTGAAATAAAATTCAGAGTCCTCAATGTCCGAGACCGAGACAAGACCGAGTACAAATGCTGTCGAGTCCAAGACAAGACCAAGACCATCAAAAAGTGGTCTTGAGACCGGTCTTGAGACCAAGACCGGTTTCAAGTACTACAACACTAATTGAGGTTAACAGCTGGCTCTTTGAGGGCCACCATAATGCTCCTGTGGCCCTCAGTGAAAATGAGTTTGACCCCCCTGGCCATACCAGGACTTCCTGCTTTTAGTTTAAGGACACTTGCTGCATCTTTGACTTGCTGTCCTGTTGCAGATATAATTTAGGACTAACCAGACACCTCCCTCCCTGCGTGATGCGTTATTAATGAAACACAGCCCGTTGCAGGAAGTCTCCCATCATGCACCTGTTACCTGCAGACTCTGCAGCATTTCAAACAAACTGCCTTTGGCTACAAATGGTCCCCATTTTGCCCCAGTTTAGTGCACATGCTACCATGTTTCTACACACTAGTTGAAGTGTGTTTGGATCATGGGCTTATTTCTGATTGAAGGTTTGACTTTTTGGCTGCAGTTCCTCTACAGATGGGTGATTGTGGGTCTAACAGGTTTCTGATAGTTCTGCTGGACATGTGATGTCTAAAAGAAGTATGCATAGTGCATCCAGTCCTCACTGTTTTTGTGCTTCTTAAAAAAAAACTTCAACAGCAAATATCTGTTTTAAAATCTTTGCCTGAGAGACGTCGCTGATCCAGTTGAACTGCTTTGGGTCGTGTTGCTGCCACTGTTTGACCTTTGACTGTCCTCCTCAGCCTCACCTTAGTGTTGACTGTTCCTTGTCCTGTTTTAAACCTTCACATCTGTTTCAGTTGGTGATTTTAGTTTTCAGTTTGCTGTCATTGTTAAATCAAACACCTGACTAGAATCCTACAAAATTCCTAATTTTGTGAAGGATTATCGAGAATTAAAGCTGTATTAAAGGGTAAAAGTGGTTACATCAAAAAAATGAACTTGTTTTAGACATGTTTGTTGTTAGCTCACTTTGCGTTTTATAAACTGATACAAATAATCTGAGAAATGTTTTACTTCATTGCCCAAACCTGTTATTTTTTAAAGCATTTTGCGTCACATCTCAAATTTGCCTTTGTGTTCGTAAACTATGTACTGTTAGTGTTCAGTTCAGATTTACCTCCCTCATTAAATTGCATCAGCAGAACAAGAAGCTTTTGACAAATGAACTTGTCTTCGTCCTTGACCGTGTGACGATGGTACTGATTAGATCACTCCAGCCTGAATCCACCCAAAGGAGCCAGAGTCTGAGGCAGAACAGTAACAAGGTATCGGCAGCTGTGGAACAATCAAATGTAGCTGAAAGTATTTAAAAATGCAGGTCAGAGGAGCAGATCCTGCAGGTTCCTCAACTTTCCTAACATCAAATTTACTCCTTGGCTTTCATTAGTGGAAGATTTAATTTTTAGCATTCTGCACTTTAACCAAATCAAGTCGTTTAAAAATCCTTTTTGAACACAAGTTTCAGTATTAAGGCTCATTTTGCAACACACCCAAATCCAAGCATTATACAAGCAGATATGCACCAGATGAAAGAATTAGAGGACAAATCCTCTTTATCTCGTGTTCTCCTTCTAAAGGTCATGTTTCCTGTTGAAAACCCAGCTGGAGTGTTAATACCTGCTGTGGTCAAAATATCAATCACCTGATGGGAACACAAGTTTCTTTACAGACAAAAAATGACCACAAATATATTATCTGAGGAGGATGAAATGAAAAAGTTTATTCTTAAATTACAAACAAGTAACAAGACAAGAAAAAAAAAAACGTTTAAGCCAAACTGGTTACACAAACTTTATTCTTCAGATTGGAAAGTCAAAAAGCCGATGAGATAATATAAAAATATTACTTAAAACTTCTGCAGGATGTCCAAATAGCAATGGTGTTTTTTTCTCCCTCAGATGTTATGTGATCAGATTTACCACCATAAGAAATACACAAAACAAAATACATTTATTCAAACTGAAAAAACAAAACAAAACTGTTTTTATCAGTCTGCCAACCAGAAATGTCTAAACAACCCTCTTCAAAACACACACAAGTCACAAAACTTTAGATACATTTGAGATTTCTTCACTCAGTACAATAAGAACATTAAGGAAGCTGCAGACGCTTCAGTTGCTATTAAATGAAAAAAAAAAAAAAAAACACTAATTCACATTTTAACGCCAATTCTTTAAGGCTGGGTAAAGTTAAAATAAATCAGATATGTACTCCAGATGTGCACAATTATCAGTCTGAACTAAATGTGGCATTTCCAAAATTAAATCTGAAACTAAACCAAGCGGACAGTCTTGTGACCTGTGGGCTTTTAAATGACTAGTTGACCTTTAACCACAAACCCAGCTTTAAAGCATATGCAGGCCGTTTTTTGCTTCCTGCCTTCCTGCATCCGTAAAGAAAGGTTGAATTCCTTGAAGCACAACTTGCTCTGAAATTATTAAAAGTTTTCGTTTAAGAAAATCTGACTGTAACGCTTAAAAATAAAGACGTGAAGAAAATGGATGAAGTAGGATGGAGACGAGTTACCTCGAAGTGGTGAGAGTCAGATGACCTGAGCTCCAGTTAGCTGAGAAAAATTCAAATTGTAGATTAAAACGATGCAGCCGTTCCAAAATCCAGACTCTGTTCCATTTCCAGGATTTGACTCTGAATTATGCCTGTTTTCACTGCAAGTCACAAATCTGACCAGGACTCCCAGAAGCCCCTCTGGGGTACTGGATGTAAACCCAAAAGCTACGCTTAGTAGAAACAAATCAGAAACATTTACATTGTCGCTCCTACTTCTCTGGAGTTTAAAATGAACGCAATGAACTCAAATCAAGCAGAGTGACACGACTGAGCCCTAGAAGACGTGTTAGCCTTTTACTTGCTTGACGATGCTGAAAATATAATTATTTGTGGATTATCGTTAGGGGTGCACTGATAAATCAGCCTCGATTTCCTTCATTTTGGGTGGTCGGCCGATACATGAGAGGCTGATCTCATATACCATCGCAAAGGTCTGAAAATCAGCCACTGTCCCGTTTTGCTCTGCTGTGAGGGAGGGCTGTTGTCCAGTTAAAACAAGTTTGTAATATTTTAAGGGTTCAGTTCTACGTTTCTGAATAAAATCCAATTGGAACATTGAAGATGTATTGTGACCTTATAACACCTGACCCATAATCATGATGCGTAAGTCTGTTTGCTAAGCTGCACTTTGTCTTTCAGCTTCTGTGAGCTGATTGCATCATCCAGATCAACGCGAATCAGAAAGCACCAAAACCAAAATGCGGTCCTGCTCGTGTAGAAATGAGTGTTTCTCTTGTAGCAAACAGTCCTCCCACATCAGACGTGTGACTGAGTGAAGACCAGCGTAAAGTCAGGAATAAATTAATGGACTGGAACGTAGCCACTGGGTGTTGATGGTGGTAACGGTCACCTCACACTTCAGTCACTGTACACTGGCCGTCGGGCATTCTGGACCGCCCGCTGCTGCTGGACGACGGCGGGGAAGAGGCCGACTCTGCATGGGGCTGGGCTCTGTCCTCTGGAGACAGTCTTTGTCTCCGCGGCCAGTCCTCCCAATGCTCTATGGGATCCCCGTCTCCCCCCTCCTCCTCTTCCTCCTCGTCGTCGCTCCAGTCTCCAGAACCAGACTCGTCCACGGAGGTGTGAGGGTCCGAAGACCTGGAGGGGGACGTCTCCTCCTCCCCATCCTCGCCCTCTCCTTCCCCAGCTTCGGACCGTTCGTGAGAAGGCGGAGGTCTGGGGCTGATTTGCAGCTGGGAGAGAGCGTCCTCGAGAGAGGGGCTGGAGCTCGGGCCAGGCTGACCCCCGAGGGAAGTGGGAGGCTGGGCGCTGGCTGAGGGGGCCGCGTCGGTCGAGGGGACGACTGTAACCTGTTGCTGTGCTCCTGCTGTGGACGTATCTGCCCCGTCTGCAAAGTTTCCACGACTTGCTGGCCCCAGAGCCCCAGCAACCGCCTCAGCGTCCAGCCGCAGTCCAGCCACGCCTTTCTTTGGAATATCCAAAACGTCCCTCTTCATCTTTCGCCTGCGGCCGTGCTCGTTACGCCTGTACTGCACCATGTTCTCCAAGTCCGCCACGTACAGAAACCCAGCAATCAGCATTTCTGCCGTCTTCTTGCCCTTTGAGAAAGCGTCCTCCAGCTCGCGGCTGGTCCGCTCATCGTACTGCCACCAGCCGTTGCGGCCCTCGTAATACCAAGCGTGATCGCTTGCTGCCCCGCCCCGACCTCCCGCCGATGCTTTTAGCTCCTCCGGAGACAGAAGGGTGGGCCTTTCCAAGAAATCATCCGGCACTTCCTGTCTGCAGAGAGCGCAGCGCTTGCTCTGCCAGGACGCTCCCTTCACACACAGGAAGCAGAAGACGTGATGGCACGGCAGCTGGACCGGGTGGACACAGCTCTGCAGACAGATGGCACACTCTGGCACTGATAAAGCTGGGGATGAGCTGCTGGAGCCAGAGCATGACGATTCTGCGCTGTTCCCACTTCCGCCGCCGCTGCCCTTCTTACTGGATGGAAGTGAGTTAACAGAGTGGTCCACCTCTCCACAACTAGCCATCCTGAAGAAGTACTGAAAGAAAGGGAATAACTATTTATATAACATGAGCATGTATTTTACCTGTTTGTTTAAGAACAAAATGAGAATAAATTCTGTTGCAATTTTAATCAAACAGAAACTAAACTATACAGAAAACATAAATACACAGATCACTTTCACACAAGACACACAGAGATACTTACTCAAAGTTACTTTAATGCTGATGAATCATTAGGAAAGCTTCTGAACCCTCAAACCTCCTGCTGTAAAAATGAATCAAACAGTTAATGACATTTTTTTTAATTTTATTTGTTTCTAATGAATCAAACTTTGTTGTCATTTTATAAATGCTTCTTCTGTATGTTATCATCAAGCTTTCTGAGGGATCTTCCAAGTTTTCTATTTAGACTTTGGCTGCTTTTCACTTATTTTCACTACAGTATAGGGTTGGGCATAATCGTATCGTGTGCAATTAATCGTCAGAAAAACATTAATCGATTACTTTTTGGCACTTGATGATTAATACGATTAATGCCACCAGTGTTCCTCTCTGCTTCAAATACGACAAACATTAAAAATAAAGTTTTATAATTTATTTATCTTTCAACACAATTTTAAATATGATCTATAGCCTGAAATCTGTAATTTTCACACAATTTGGAACAATTTTTTTCAAAGATCAAATCTTTCCCACTGAATTGGTCATGTGACTATAAAATAAGGGTGTCCATGGACTCCAGGGGATTAATCATCAAATTAATTGTTATCGGCTAAATACCACAATTAATCATGATTAATTTTTTTGCCAATATTGCCCAACCCTACTCCAGTAGTGGATTATTTTCAGAATTTGTTTTTGTTTGTTAAGACAAGTATCTGCAACCCATGAATCATTAAAGTGCATAAATGTTGTTAAAACACGACAGACAACTTAAAATAGATGTTTAGGCAGTGTCACCAGTAGGCTGTCACAACGACGTCACAATTTGGTCCCATTTGTTTCTACTAAATCAATGCAAAAATACCAACACAAGCGTGTAAATCACCAGATTTGTCGCAATACAATATTGAATCGATTTGTTTGGATGAGGATGTGTTTTCTCCATCTCACAAAGCCTGTCATGATAAGATTTTGATTCAATTCAGAAGTCTGCGATTTATTTAATGCAATCATATTCCCATCAAGTGTTAGATGGGAATAGTCAAATAACAACTTTCACATTTACTTTTAAAAAATGTGAAAGCTGCTTTACACGCATTAAACTCAATTGAGAGGGAAATTGTTGACATTACTTGGTTTTAAATCCAATACGTTTTTTTGTGTAAGATATCGATTAGGGCTGCCACAATTAATTGATTAATCGGCGACTAATCGATTATTAAAATAATCGATGACTAATTTAATAAATCGATTAATCGTATTCTTTTTTTTTTGTTGTTCTTTACTTTGTTTTTCTCTCCAAACTGCTTTGACACCTTCCACTGCCACATCTGCCTTTCTGTCCTTGACACACATGCACAGTAGTGGTAACTGGGGTTAGGGCCGTCACCTCACAGCAAGGTCCCAGGTTTCCTTGTGTCCTGGGGCCTTTCTGTGTAAAGTTTGCATGCTAACCTCGTGCACATGTGGGTTTTCTCCCACAGAACAAAATAAAAAAAAATGCTTATTAGGTTATTTAGTAATGATGAATGTTTGTCTCAATCTATGATGAACATTAGGGCTGTGTATTGGCAAGAATTTGGCGATATGACATATCATAACGGAGGGGTCACGATACGATATATCCCGATATATTGCAATACTGTAAGCAAGGAGATATATTGTGATACATTGCGATTTTTTTTGTCCAAAAAATTCTATTAAATAAAACCCTCTTACTGAAAAAAAAAATGCTAATGTTTACTTACAATGCTTATATTTTCTCCTACAATGCTAATGCTACCCCTGGCGCTCAAGAGGTAGAGGAGCCAAATGGCTGGCTCCCTGCTGCCAACTAGTGGTCAGAGGCTGAACTACAACATAAAAATGAATGGCTGGCAAGAAGGTTGACATTTTAATCCTTAATTAAAAATCGATACAGGGCTTTAGAATATCGATACAGTATCGGGAAATGAAATATCGCGATATTTCAGTGTATCGATATTTTCTTAGACCCCTAATGAACATGTGACCAATCCAGGGTGTACCCCTCCTCTCACACTATGACCACCAGCTTTCTGGTAACTCAGAAAGGAAAAGCAGATAAAAAAAATGGATGGATGATGATTCCTGCAGAGCTATTAGCTGAAAATTTACCACAATCATATGAAGAACATCGTATATTTCAGGTCTCACGTCAGGTCTTTATTTTTCCTGCTCATTAAAACACAGATTTCACTTACTGTGAATCTGCTAGGGTGCAACTTTTTCTTTTGTCCTCCATCTGTTCACTTTATTCATTGAGTTTCTAAAACAAGCTCATTGTTCCACACACTGAACAATATGTATGAGGACAGAAAAAAATAAAAAATAAAACAAAAACCGTGTAGGACAGAAGCCAAAGCTCAAATTAAAGATCTGAAAAACCCTCAGAAAACCTGAACTACTGAATCACTTTGAAAGCTTACATAAAAGTCTGATTTCCCTCAAAGCATGAAGACATTAGAAGCAGTTAAAATGTTGGAAAAAAAGGAAACTATAAGCACAATGATGAAGTATTAAGGTACATCTTATGTTATTATTTACAGACAGTAAATAATAGTATATTTACAGTACGACGTTTAAAAGAAAAACTGAGCACACGTGAAATCTGAGAGTTTATTTGAGAAACAAAGGGAAGCTGTGTTAACCTGCAACAATCACTGTGACTTTGTGCTGACTTGACCTAGCTGTCCTTATTTTGAGGCACGATAGAAACATCTATAATGATCAGATATACAACAGAACTAGACATAATAACATTAGTTATCTTGACTTAATAGTAACGTTTTTTAAATATGTTTTAACAAATGTTAAATACAAAGGAAAACCTAAGACAACTACTATTACGGTGTGAAGCACAAAAGTCACATTTAAAGCGCCACTGGTTCATTTCTCGACAGAAAAGCCTTTAAAACAATGGAACATGTTGTTTCTGTCTAAATCTGGGCTGGGCTAAGTGCTGCGCTCTGGCTCCAGAAAGTAGACGGGGTTCATTTGACGGCGCTAGCTTAAATTAGCGGGGCGACATAAACAAAGAGAAAATAGTCTCGACACACACGTTACATCGATTGAATACTAACCATATCTTTAAATCTGTCCGTGCTGGTCTGCTGCACTGTTCCAACTCGAGCTGCAGTACAAATTTACGATGCTAAAACACCCACTGCCAATGTTAGCTGGCTTTGTTTTCCTCAGAAAGAGAAGCAGGGGGATAAAGGGGTCGACGTAACGGTACGTGCTTACGTCAGTAGACGGCGTGTCGTACGACCTTTTCTTGACGCATGACAAATCCGTACTAGTCTTCCTGTTCGCTCGTGGGTAGAGGACGTTGGTGTCACAAAGGAGAGCGGCTCCCGAGGAGTTTTAATATTATTTTGTAGTTAAACTACGTAAATAAGAAACAAGATGTTTTCCCGTGCGGTGAGACCTACCGTGAGCCTCGCTCGGAGCCTGTCCACGTCTTCGCGGCGTAACACCAAGGTGGCGGTGCTCGGAGCTTCAGGCGGCATAGGCCAGCCGCTGTCCCTGCTCCTTAAGAACAGCCCCCTGGTGAGTCGCCTCAACTTGTATGATATTGCCCACACGCCCGGAGTGGCCGCAGATCTCAGCCACATTGAGACGAGGGCCCAGGTGACCGGTTTCTTAGGCCCCGACCAGCTCGGCGCCGCTCTGCAGGGCTGCAAAGTGGTTGTTATCCCCGCCGGCGTGCCCAGGAAACCGGGCATGACCCGCGACGACCTCTTCAACACCAACGCCACCATCGTAGCCACCTTGGTCGACGCCTGCGCCCGCAACTGCCCCGAGGCCATGATCTGCATCATCGCCAACCCCGTGAACTCCACCATCCCCATTACGTCCGAGGTCCTGAAGAAGCATGGCGTGTACAACCCCAACAGAGTGTTCGGCGTCACAACCTTGGACATTGTCAGAGCCAACACCTTCGTGGCAGAGCTCAAAGGTCTGGATCCAGCTCGGGTCAACGTGCCAGTTATTGGTGGCCACGCAGGGAAGACCATTATCCCCCTGATTTCTCAGTGTGCACCTAAAGTTGAGTTTCCTCCTGATCAGCTGGCCGCCCTGACCGAAAGAATACAGGAAGCCGGCACAGAGGTGGTTAAAGCCAAGGCAGGAGCAGGATCCGCCACCCTCTCCATGGCCTATGCAGGCGCCCGCTTCACCTTCTCCCTCCTGGATGCCATGAATGGAAAGGAAGGTGTGGTGGAGTGCTCCTTTGTCAGGTCTGAGGAGACGGTGTGCAAGTACTTCTCCACACCGATCCTGCTGGGGAAGAACGGCATCGAGAAGAACCTCGGTCTGGGCACTCTGTCCGACTTCGAGCAGAAGCTGGTGGCCAATTGCATCGACGAGCTGCAGGCCTCCATCAAGAAAGGCGAGGACTTTGTGGCCAACATGAAATGAGCAGGAGCCACGGAATCGAAGTGATGGAGAATATGTCTGGTCTTAAAGCATCAGAATAATTTAAGATCTGTCAGTGTTTCCTCTTCTTTGTTTTGTCAGTAGAATCATCTTTTTGTTATTTAATTTTGAGCTTTTTGAACATGGCTTTATTTTGTGAATGTAACATGTCTGTGGGTGTACTGTGACTTGTCTAATTTTATTTGCAGATCTTTAATTTAGAAAGTCATCTGTATTCATAGCTGTCTGAAGATTTTTCTGCTAAGTGAACAAGGAGGAAATACTGTCTGCCTGCTGATGTGAAAAGCGGTTATTGTTTCAGATAAGAAAATATTCACTCCACCAATAAACAATTTAGCTTCTGGATGTTTTCTTTTTTTTATTCTGCAGAACAAATACTGATAGGTATGGAAGCCCATTTCTGCCACCCTTATAAAAAAATAAAACTTGTATCTCATAATTATGACTTAGCTATCTGATAATTATGAGGTAGTATCTCATAAGGGCTCTAGAAAGGTGACCAAATGTTTAAAGTCAGTCATCTTAAAACTACAATAAAACAAATGTGAACATTCATTATTACTAAATGCTTTTTACAGTAAAGTCCAATACGTTAATTTGATCATACATGTCATTTTTCAATAACTAAAGTTATTTACCTTTATTGTAGACTTGTTAATGGAAAACCAAATAACTAGTTTTAACTTCAGAATGAAAGTGATGCATACTGTAAAATCACTATAAACAAAATAGTGATAAAATATAGACGTGCTACAGACAAAATATCTTTGTTTCTCAAAGGTCATAATAACCTGATAAGAAACTGACTGCAGTTTGTAAATGTACATCAGTTTCACTTTAACCCAGGTATTAGCTGGAAACTTTTACATTAAAGTAATTACAGAAAAATCTGAACACCATTCAAGAATAAAAGCTGATTATAAGTTAAAGCCTCAGCATTCCTTGAAAACACACTTTATAAAAGCTTTAAACGTATTAATTTATAAAAGATGGCAGTTGTAGACATTTTGTTCAAACCTATAATGTTGCGTCACATAATATTTTAAGATCTCACAGCACTCCAAGTATGTGTTGAGGATGACTCTCAGCTATCACATCAAACTTTAGCTCAATATTTGCAAATTTGACTAAATTATAGCTATTTTTATGTTGGCTAACGAGGCCATTTTGATTTTGATTGACTACAAAAGTTATTTAGTTCGATACAGGTTGATTATGTTCTGTAATTTTCACAAAACTTTGTCAAGTGGTTCATGAGGCATTTTGCAACAGAATGTATTTCCTTAGATCTRTTGGCTGTGGTGGCTATCTTAAACTGGTTTGGCTCAAAACTTAATCAGCTGTAGAGGAGCATCCAGTGATTATTTCCTGAAGTTTTGGTCAAAATTGAGATATTTTGCTAACTGGCAACATTAACTCCAAATAGGTGTTGGCAAAATGTTTAACAAAGATGTAGTACAATCTGTGAGCACACTGAGTCTGTGTTGGAAAGCAGTCTCAGCTCATACCAAACTAAATTTGAGTTGAATCTGTAAACTTTATTTTTTAACCCGTTTTTGTGTTTTCTAAGGCCTGTTAGGTTTAGAGACCAGGCCAGGTTTGGGTCTAGGATTTTTCTGAGTAATGGGTCTTCAAGGGGCCACAATATTCATAGAGGGGCCAAGCATTTGTTCAGCATCCTTGCACACATAAGGTGTCTACATTTAACCAGTCACACATGTTCAAACACTTGTAATTTAAAATAGGGCTTGCACAGTAAAGTTTACTTATCAATTTGACATGTATTTTTACTGTACACAGATAAAATACTCTGAAATTTACAGCATGAGAGAAAGTCCAACACCGTATGTCACTTGAAAGACTTTGCAGGATTGTTCAAATTTTCTTATGAAGAGAGGAAGACTTCTGTCAGTTTGATTCATGCTGCACTTTCCTATTTGACTCATTAGCGCCTCTAGTGTTTAGACCTGGAACTGCATCCAGCATCATCGCTCTCAGACAAATGACAGATAAGAGACAGGACTTTGGAGGGCTAATCAGACCCTGAAAGAGATATTTCCTTTCATTGACTGACTAATAAAATGTGTCCGGAGCAACAAAATATACTGTAACTGTGATTATGAATTGGTGGCCCGTGGGCTACTTTAAGTTTGGTGAAGGGGTGGTTTCCAGCCAATGGAGGTAGCATTGTAAAACTAAAAAATACAGTATATGGTGAATTTAAACATTTGTGCCAACAAGAGTATATATATATA